ATGAGTGGTGTTTCTTGCCGCCTTTTCCTTTACTATTTTCATATTTCTTTGATTTCTTGTAGTGTTTTCTCTCCGAATGGGTACTTTCTCCACTGTCGCTGCTTGGCGACGATCCACGGCTTGTTGAAGACGCACCACTGGATGTATATCCACTTCCTTTCGACGTGTAACTGCTTCTCGACGAGCCTCTGCTTCTCGAAGAATCACGGCTGCTGCTGTTGTCATACCTGCTTTTGTGATGCTTCTTGTTGTTTGGCTTCTTGTGGTACTTGTTGTATGGGGTTACGTCTCTGTTCTTCAGCTTTCTGGAAGATTTTGATGGCTTGTTGAACAATCCCATTCCTTGGAACGTATTGATAACAGACTGAGTTACTTCTTTGTGAAGTTCTTGAGCCCATTGTACTCTCTGTGCTTGTGGGTCCGCTTCTCCTGCAATCTTGTCATATCTTCTTCTCGCTCCTTCCAAATTTACCAAACCAGTTGTTAAGTCTTTTACAGTTTTGTACACTATGGGTCTAATTTCCTTTTGCACATCCAAGGGAAGTCCATCAATGATGTATCGAATTTTGTCAATTTCCTTTGCTCTCAAATCCATTCTTGCTATCAAATCTAACTTGTCCATGATGTAATTTCTCATACTTTCATTAGGCTTCTTGACTCTGTTTTCCATTTTATTCCTGGCGTCTATGTCATCATAGTCACTTGTGAATGCATCAATCATTGCAGCTTTCAACTCAACCCATAAACAAGCTCTTGATTTTTCAGCTAAAAATCTTCTAAGCCAAGACTCTGCTTCTGAGTTTTTCACACATTCTTCCAAATAGGCCAATCTCTTTCGATTGCTGGCATCCATTTCATCCATCCTTTCTTCAAACCGGTTCAAAAAGTCCTGAACATTGATAGCATTGCTAAAGAGTGGGAGAGGAATTTTGGGTTCCCAGGCACGATGTTGTGTGTGCCGTCGGGGCCTTTCCTGCTTCCATTCAGTTCCAGAATCTGAATAATCTTCATAAAGTCGTTCTTCATCATACTGTTTTTCTTCACGTCTGTTTCTTGTGTATGATGTGTATTCCGGTTTACTGGTGTATGCTTTGTAATCTTGCGTTTCGTAGTGCCCTGGAGGTGGCCCATTGCCTTCATTTCTATCTGTGTATCCTTTGTACCAATTCGGCATGGTGTTCTGCCCTATTGCTGGCTTTCTGTAGTCCTTGCCTTCATCTTTCTTATTTTCGTAGCCTCCCCTCCAAGTAAATTTTGAATGTGCACCCGTAGATGAATTTCTGTAACCCCTGTTTTCTCCGTATCTGCCCAAATCTTTATGCACATTTTCAAAGACCTTGGTTATTGGGTCGTTCAGTGTAGATTGTTCTTCCACCGCACCACTTCTTTCTGAACCCCTACTCATTGCTGACAATCTTCCTGTTGCGTCTGCTGCTGACAATCCACATGACGCTTCAGCTGTGTCAGCTGTGTTCTTGTCTATAGCTTGAGCCATTTCCGTGTGAATGTTTATGTCCAAATTGTTTTGTGTGTGAAAGTTTTCTGAGAAATCGGTTTGTGCGGATTGTCTGAGAAAAACTTGATAAATGGCTAGAAAAACTTTCAAACCAGCCTTTCGGTCTTGAAAAACCTCTTCTGTGTGGTGTGCTGTGTCCCTCTGATACTTTGCAATGAATTCTTTGAGCAAATGTAGGTCAATCACAAACAAACTGGTGTTTTCTGAATTTGCTGCTGATGTGTCTGCAAAGGACAAGTGTGGCCCTAATTCTTCTGCAAATCTGATGTTGAGTTGTGTTTTGTAGTTTTGTTTGACTTCGTCACTTTCTTTCTGAAAATCTGGCCAGTACACTTCAATGTAGCTTAACACCGTGTTAATGCCCTGCGCAACGTTGTTGAGTTCCTGTTCAGTAATGTTTCTAAAATTGTTTAGTTGTAATTTTAAGCTGCTTGTCCCTGACCGTGCGCCAATGAGTTTCTCCAATTTCAAAAATGACGCAACCGTCTCGTCCTGTTCTTCTTCCAGTATGAAATCTGGGCAATAGTCAGCTGGTGCTGACTGGTGTTGGTGTACTGTGAGCACGTCGTGCAGCGCCGGCGGGGTCACCGACTGTGATGACACAAGCTCCAATGAATTAAAAGCCTCACTGACTGTGTCACGCTGCTGCTGGTCCGCTGTGACTTCTGTCACCTCAGCTTGCTTGGGTGGAGGGACAACACACAGCGTGCTCAAAACAATACGGATTATGTATTCTGTTTTGGAAATGTCCGGGTCCGCTCTGAATTGTGTTCGTGTCTCAGTGATAAATTTAAGAAGTTTTTCAATGTCTACAGTGAATTCTGAAGGTATCTCCGCGTCCTGGGCATCGAAATTTACTGCCTCTGCTTGAATGTCAGTTGGGTCAAACCTTATGCACTCCAAAAGTTTTTTTAATTCAGCCTTTCGAAGCTTGGAGCGCGTGGCTTTGCCCTGCCGCTCTTGCACGAAGTCGCACGCCTGGACAAGTGCGTTACAGGCTGTACCTTTGTAGCCCCACTGAAAAAGAGAGAGCGATGACCATCGCCCACTAATTGGGGGATGACTTTTGGTCGCTCAGTTTTGAGCGATAGAAATTTTATCGCCTTAAATTTGGGGACAAACATTTCATCGCCCCAAATTGAGCGACACTAACTCATCGCCCCCAAATTTTGGGGGACACACTTAACATCGCCCAAAATTTGGTAAAGCGTTTCCATCGCCCAAAATTTTAGCGATGGCCAGTGGGAAGGTAAATAGAAGTGAAACCCACTGACTCAGATCACAGGTCTTGGTAAAAATTTGTGATGACAATGGCAGGCAGTCTTGAAACATCAGCAGCAGCCTGCTACCTTCACAGTTCTGCCCCAAAACCTCTCAAGAACTTGCTGGCCAGGGCAGTCAGTTTCAGATGTTTTCAAACTGTTGTTTCTCTTTTCACAAGAAACTTGCCCTGACAGTCACCTATTTTGGCTCACCTCATGAAATGTGTTTTCCCGTTTAATCCAAGTGTAGAGTGCTAAGTCATCACCATACAGCAAATAGAGTCCACAACAGATGTGAACTAGCTGCTGCATCCTTGGGCTTGAGCTAGCACAAGGACACTGTTTGTTTGAGCTGGAAACTGGTTTCAACGAACCAAAGTGTTTCCGAAATATGGCCATCCGTCACGACCGAAAAGCAAAGTGCCCCACTCGCGACAAGTCCGATAACAACGACAAAAGTTTTAAAAATTGGCGAAGTCCGAGGCCTACAAACGCCGCCATGATGGTACAGTACTTGCGTGTTGTTTTTGTTTTCGCTTTTGCCTGCCGCCCGTCTCGATCGTGCCAATACGTAGCCAAGGGGAAGAGAGCTTGCAAAAAAGGGTTTTCGTGCTTCTTTTGTTTGCGAGCGGGTGGAAAGAGGGGAGGGGAAGAGGGGTGGGGGGAGGGGTAAAAAGAAAGTTTTTGTTTACATGCATTTTGCATCTTGTTGCTCGGCTTTCTTGAATTCTTATAAAGGTCCTTTACGCCTGTTGCCAAAGCACAGAGTTTTGTGTCGCCGGGGCAAAATTTGAACGATTCCCGATCCATCTGAGCACGCACTTTAGTCGGATGAGAGTGAAAATCCTCTTAGTTGTACATACATTTAGTCCCCGGGCTTACCCTAACCCCCTTTTTTTATGCTGCTGTTTAAGATTCGCTTTTATCGTTTGCTTCATGCTTTGTTGCTCCAGACCCTGCGTTAAGTCATTACAAGGTGAACCCCCTTTTTTTCTGTCACCCAGGTTCCGTGTTGTCCATTCAGCTCTGTTTCCCAACCCAGCTCTGTCCTTCTGGGAGATCTTTAGCCCACCTGTTGTCCACTTCTGCCTCAGGAACCCAACTTGCTGCTTTGTGGCCTTCACATGGTAAGTCCATCCCTTTTTTATTGTGCTGCAAGTTACCTTTTATTTATTGTACAATGTGTAATGTTTTCATTGCTCTTTTTGACAGTGACCGAGATGGAGATGGGGGCAGTTTGCTGCTAGCAGTCGGTTTCACTCCAAAACCCGCGAGGAGGTGCAAGCACCAGTGTTTTGGGTTCACTCCTTCTGGTCGATTGCCTCCACCACCAAGACCCAAGCGGACAGGACTCTCTTACTTTATTTTGTGTAGACAGTTTTGTTTCCATTCTCTAGCATCCTTTGACATACATATCGTCTATCAGAAGAAATGTTTATCGTGCAAGTGAAAATCTCTGTTTGAGATACGCCACTTGGGTAGATTCCCCCCTCTTCCCCAATTTAGTCACTGATGTGTTGCTGTAAATTTTTTATTAAAATTGTCATTTAATTAATCATAACAATCCTGTTGTTCTTTTTTCTTTATTCCACTTTTCCTGCTCCATTTTAGGTAGGGCTAAAAATAGGGAATTGTGTACAGCTGTGAGATTGTAATCTGAAGGCATGCCTTTCATGTTGTTATTTTAAAGTAGGATCAGGGGGGTTAAAAAAATCAAGAATCAGTGCAAAGTCAGTGACAAAAGATTTATTAGAATGTCAGCTGGAAATGAAAGTAATTTTAAACAAAAACAGTTTCCTTTGATCGTATTTTCTTTAGAAAAGAATTTTTTTTTAGTAATAGTTTGTTGACTCTTAACATTTTTAGGCAGTGTTCAAAGATGTTTATTAGAATGTCAGCTGTTTGGAAAGTATTATAATCAAAAAAAGTTTTTTTGATCATGTTTCCTTTAAAGGGAAAAAAGAGAATTTTTTTAATGACAGTTTGGTTGATTCTAAACATTTTTCCCACTCTATTGAGTAAACTTCAGTAAAGTTCATGTAACTGACGCTTATGAAATTATAAATAACAATCATATAAAAAAAATCAATAGTAGTTAATATGTGCTTTGACACAGATCAAAAGAAATCATACCGATGAATGAACAAATTTAAATAAAAACTAAATATAGCTTCCTTGAACGGCAGTTAATTCTTATGTAACTGGTGGGTAATTTTTCTTACTTACTGGATTCCTATGAGATCTCGTGTTAGTGCCAGGTATTCCTGTTTAGCTCGAGTCTTTTTTGTACCTGCAGAAAGTTCTCCATGGAGGTAGCTTTCCAGAAGCCTGAGGAAGCTTTCGTAAGCCCTGGGATACTTCACATCAAGCAGCCAGTAAGGGGCCAGTAGTTGCTGCATCACTTGGAATAGAGTTGGTTCTTTGATAACGTTGATTACGTCGTCATGCATTAATAGAACTGAAGTGTTGAGAACTCTCTTGCCCTCTCTTGATGTTGTGACAGTGGCCACTATGCAGGGAGCTTGCAAGGTGTTGAATTGCTCCAGTGTTCTCTGATCAACCTGAGTGGCCTGCAAAGAATATGGAATTTATCTTTGTGATGAAATTGGTTTATAACTTTATCACCATTTGGCAGAATCTTCTGTTCAAGCTACATACATCCTTAAAGGTGATTGCTTTCCTTAGCCGTTGTTTTCTCAACAGCTTAGGAATCAACTGGTCCTGAATCAAGTTTAAGATTTCCAGTGAGTTATCAACTGTGTGTTGTGGGATACTTAAATAAGAGCTCAATAGCGTTAGGAATTTCTGGCTGTTATTTTCTATTGCTGTTTCATTCTTTTCAATGACAAGGAGATATTCATAAATCATCTGTAATGGGATTGAACATAGTTTTTATAAAATCAGCCAGTGAGGTGTTTTGTTTAATTAAGAATTATCTTACCATTTTTCCATTCTTTAGGTGAGGATAAAGTTTAAGCATCCCTAATTTATCCTCTGTCATAGCAAAGGCACTGCTTCTTTCCTTATAAGTACGATCAATAAGCCATTTCAATCTCCTTGGATCTGAAACCATCCCTGACTGTAGCTCAGCAGTAAGTGTCTCTGTACTAGTTGATGTAGATGGCAGTTCTCTAAAACAAAAACAAACGGGAAGGATTGGTATAAGAATAGGAGTAATTTAATGAATGTGTTGCAACTACCTTCTCATAGGATTAGTCTTTTTCTTAGCAGGTTGATTAGAAGTGGACGGATTTTCTTGGTTTTCTTTTTGATTATCTCTATACCTCTTGCTTGAGAATGATTTTTGAATACTTCTTCTCAGAGATTTCTGCATTAAAAAAAAATATGTTCAGCACGAGACATAAGTTTATGAGAGATATCCATTATGAACAGTGATCATTACTTACAGATCCTTTTGAACCTGAATTTGGATCCGCTAGAATTGGGTACTCTTTTATTAGAGCAGAGGTTAACAAATTCATCTCAAACTTTCTTAGATAAGTGTCTTCAATTTCTACTTCCAAGTGCAGCCTAGTCTCTTCAAGCACAGAAGACATCTTGACATTATTATTTTTTAGCTTTTGTCTTAAAGCTGCAGAGAAAATTGGCAATGCGTTAGCTTTGGTTAAAACTTTGCCAAATTTCCTAATTTTCTGGAATACAGATAATGTACCTTATGAGCTCTCTTACTAAATAGATTGTCAAATACTATAAAAACTACTTCAATTAAATTTGTTTTACCTTTGCTGGCTTTCGATACTCTGCCCTCCTCTTTCTTTTTTTAATGGTTTCTTCATTAGGTGAGGAATCCTATCGGCAGATAAAAATAAAAACCAGTGGTTGCAAAGCTTTCCAGTGAAATAAAGCAACTACTTACCTCGTCTGAGTCGGTACTGCTTTCCTCGTTTTCATCTGGAGTGAAATTTGGGTCATCAATTTTCTCTCTAGCTAATTCATCATCATTTTCATCTGTACTTTCATACATTAGCTGAAAAAAGAAAAGATGTTTAATTAGTAAATAAAAACAAACAAGCAGTTGTCTACTGTTATGTAAGATGGGGGTGTAGTTACCGTTGTGTCATTGCAGTTTGGTGGTACAAGTGATTCTTTGACGGTAATGTTCCCAAATAGGCTCAAGTCATCCTCTTGAAACTGAAGCAAGTCATCTCCACTACTGAAAATAATGCATAGGTTAAAAAAGGGAAATGAACGTCATTTGCCAATTCTGTCCTAGCATCAGACGATATTTGCACAGTTACTCACTCATCATTTTGGGTTGCTGAGAGTGTGGTTGCTTCTGCGTTTGTTTGAGATGGGACCGTCTGCTCAGGCAAAGACTGGGTGACATTGTCAGTAATATCCTGGTAAAAGAAACATTTTTGTTACTGATATCCCCATTTTTTACTGTAACAAGATTCAACTTGGAAAGTACCTCTAAATTGAGTGGAGACCAGCCAACAAACACATTCTCACCACCTCTGAAGATAAACTTTCTTTTAATCTCTTTCTTTTCGCTGTTGTAAACCATTGAAAAGGTTGGAGAGTATTTGCTTCGCCTTCTAGCCAGTGCATCATCTTCATGGCAGATTTCATCAAATTCTTTCTTGAGATCTGCGATAGTGCCATTTGTCCTAATATCGACAGGAATGGCCCTGTCTTCCACATTAATCATCACCTCTACTTGTTCCATGATTGCTGCACTCCAACCGATTTCAATCAGGTAAACTCTTTCAGTCGTGAAGCCGTTGAATTTCAAACCTCAAAACACATCCCGCTTGAGAACACAACTACCAACTTATATTAAAAAAAAAAAACTTAATAGTTTTTAGCAAAATCTGATCACACTCAGCAAGAAAGGAACAAAAATTTTTGAAATGATATTAATATGAGATTATTTGAGTGCTTCTTTTGTTCCTGTTTGTGGTATATAATATTTTCCAATTGACCCTTCCGAAGTTTGCAAATGTTGGTACAAGTCAGGTAACATTCCGTAGCCTCTCTCTGGGTGGCGGCACATTGTGGTACCCTCTGACTTGCTGGCAGCTTAAGCGTCGTTTGCATTATTTGAGTTTCAGGGGCGAAGGAACCTTGGTAATTATGACAGAATGGTAATAAATTTATCGCCCGAGGTTGCAATAGTATTTTTAACCACATTTATAAATTTGCAGTGGTATCTCGAAAGCATATTGCTACATGTATTTGGACTACGGTTACAAACTGACTGCAGAATGGAGGCAATGGATGACGAAGTTTCTGGTACGGCTAATCTAAAATTCATACCAGAACAAAGCCATTTTTAATCCCAGCGCGTTGTTAACCAATTTTGTTTGTTTAATTTATTAGGACGACCTGATCCCACTGATTTAGCTGCTAAGCTGCAGGCTCGGGCAGCAGAGACGTTAATCAAACTGAAGGATGAAAGCTATTCAACTCACAAGGTTTTCAATCTTGTGACAAACGGTGTTGATGACCTATTTAGAATCCTGATTGACATCATCAAGGTTTGTTTCACATCGTGTGTTGCTTTATTGTATTCTTACTTTAGATGTCTATAATAATTCCTTCTTGCTTTCAGGCCCAATTTATGAGTTATGGAGCTGAGCAGGTGTTTTCTGTACAAGAAGTATGCTCAATACTTGATAGATTGGAGGGGAATTCATTATTTGAGGGTGTGCATACTCCAGAAGAGCTGTCAAAATATGTGGAACAAGAAAGATGTCTCATACGTCCAGCTGGTGTGGAAGTCACTACTCAACCAGTTGTTGCAGGAAAAGAAGTTAAAGCTGCTGTTGTTGAAAAAGGGTACATAGTTCCCTTTTTACCTATGTTAGAGGCTTTGCTCAACTGCCCTGAAGTTCTACATTGCATTGACAATCCAAAGCCATCTATCGATGGAGTCTTTGCCGATCCACTTGATGGCTATGCATACAAGAAACATCCTTTGGTTCAGAAGTATCCAGGAACATTAGGCATTAGAACTTATGATGATGATGCGCAATGCACTGACTCAGCAAGTAGCCAAGATGTCAGCGTTCGGTTTATCTACTGGACATTGCTTAACATTTATCCCGAGCTGAGATCATCAAATCGAGCTATCCACTTGATGGGTTGTATGAAAACTGACCTCATTAAGTCAACAGGTCATAAAGTCTTCTTGACTGACTATGTGGCTTCAATGAAACAATTATGCAGTGAAGAAGGAGTTACCTTCACTGTGATGGGCAAGAAAAGAGTGTTCCGTGCTGTGATGGTAGACCATAATGCTGACAACCCAGCCGCTGCCAGCATAGGAGGCTTCAAAGAGTCACATTTTGCTAATTGTTGTTGTCGTCAGTGCTATGTTACCTCAGAAGAAATGTTCTCTTCATTTGATGAAAAAGATTTTGTCCGGCGCGACAAGGAATCTCATGAAAAGCATGTGGCTGAAGTGGAGGAGTACATTGAAAAAAAGTGCAAGACGAAACCCTCTCCCTCTGTGACATATGGTATAAACAGCAGAAGTGCTCTGATGGATATTCCTACTTGTGATGTCACCAAATGCCTGCCTCAGGATCTCATGCACGACGTTATTCTTGGCACTCTGAAAACGGAAATTATCTGTCTATTAGAACATACTCTAGAGAAGAAAAAAACCTCACTCAAGGCCATCAACAGGAGAATAAGTAGTCTGGTAAAGTATTTTGGAGTTAACAAGCCAGCAGACATAGAAGCAAGCCACATTCAGAACAGATCATTACGCCAGTCAGCATCAGAGACATTGGCCCTGGCCTATTTACTGCCATTTGCCCTCCAAGTTCAAACTGAAAAAGGAGTGGAGCTTGCTTGTGATGAGGCTAACCTACATTGCTACATTCTGAGGCTAAATCTTCTGAGCCTTCAAATGTCTGACCAATTTACAATGGCCGACCTTGAAAGATTGAGAAAAATGACAATAGACCACCACAAGCGGTTTCAAGCCCTATATCCTGGCCGAGAAACTCCGAAGATGCATTACGAAACCCATTTCCCAATGCAAATATATCTTTATGGGCCACTTCGTCTCCACTGGTGCTTCAGGTAAATAGTCTTTTCAATAAATTTAAATATGTATTTATACACCTCAACTTAGATGTGTTTAGTAACTGCAGTATGTAAAATTTCATGTTTGCCTTTCTGCACCCACTGCTATCAACTCAAGCTTTATTTTACTGAAAAGAAACCTTTTGTTTTACATCAAAAATTATCTAAGTTGGTTGTTGTTTCAAATTATTACTTACTGAGGAATTGAATTGAACATTGACATCCTCTGCCCTCCAAAAATATGCCAGCTTGTTCAATTTGATGACATAAATGGCACTGAAAACTTTGAGAGAGCTGATTTGATTGTACCTGCCATAAAAATTAAGATTCTCAAAATATGCTAATTTGGCTTTCTTTTTCTTTTGATATTTTTGATCAGAGAAAACATGAAATTCTAACAATGCAGGTACTTCTGATATTTTAACAGACATTAAGATGGTGAACCTAGTTAATAATTAGTTTTTGTTTTAGATTTGAGGGCAAACATGCCTATTTTAAAAGACTATGCAGGTTGATGCACAACTATGTCAACATTTATGAAGCATTGGCTCAAAGGCATCAAGAAAGGCAATGTGGATTAATGATGTTGAGTGCCATGGGAAAGAATGGTGTAACATATCTCTCAACCAACAACAGCAGAGGTGCACCAAAGAAGGTCATACTGGAAGTGTGTATTCACAAAGAACTTTTGGAGCAAGTATTCAAAGACAATTCTAAGACCATTAATGAGTACACATATGTAGTTCATGGTGGAGTACATTGTTCAAAAGAAACTGCCATTGTCACCAAATTTGTTAAAGATGTTCCCATTTGTGGAGAAATAGTTGCAATCTATGGCACTGCAGAAAAATTAGCATTTGTGTACACAAAGTTGGCCACTCAGAAGTATGAGCTTTCCTTAAATGCTTTCAAAGTGTGTCACACGGAGAAGGTGGCAGTTATACTGGCCGAAGATATAGCTTACAGACATCATGTTGTGTTCATACGAGAAGTAGGAGCAAACTTTGTAATTTTGCCCTCCAAATCCTACTTATCACACAAGGTAAGTCTAAACAATCTTAAGGTGGAAAGTAATTTAACTGAAAACTTCAATTTCAAATCACCTGTTTCTTTACCTTTGTCTTCCAGTACTGAATACTTCAAATCAGCTTAACGCAGAAGCTGATCACCTAACTGCTGACTCAACCAACTTTATAGGAGGGTTCCTAAAACAGTGCTGCTCAAAATATTTACTAGACTGTTTCAACATTACCACATGATTCTGCCAAGAGTTCAAGTGATGCAAGTGCGGTTCAACATTGGATTCATGGACTGCTTCCGTAACTTTCCTACAAGCCTTGGAAATTAAAGGAACGTTTCTGTTGGACCAAGAAAATTAAAATGAACATCTAAAATCAATACCCAACTGATTTTTAAAGAAAAGTATTCAAAAGAGGCTGTCATTGATTACAATTACTTGAACAAAGTAATAGACAGGTAATATTTTAAGAAAACTGGCACCACTGTCTTATGTCAAAAAATACTGATCAAGAAAAACTGTTCTGTATAAAACTTTCTTTCACTTCCAGATAATTGAATACTAGTTGCCAATCAGAGACCATGATGTTAAGAACCTTCTGTTCATGCAAAGAAGTAGAATATTTCAAAACCCATATTCTGAATTCGAATGTACTAATGAAATGCATTCAGTTACATGAACTTTACTGGAGTTTACTCAATAGAGTGGGAAAAATGTTTAGAATCAACCAAACTGTCATTAAAAAAATTCTCTATTTTCCTTAAGGAAACATGATCAAAAGAAACTGTTTTTGATTATAATTACTTTCACAAACAGCTGACATTCTAATAAACATCTTTGAACACTGCCTAAAAATGTTAAGAGTCAACAAAACTATTACTCAAAAAAATCTCTTTTCTGAAGAAAATACGATCAAAGGAAACTGTTTTTGATTATAATTACTTTCACTTCCAGCTGACATTCTAATAAATATCTTTTGTCACTGACTTTGCACTGATTCTTGATTTTGTTACCCGCTGATCCTACTTAAGATAACAACATGAAAGGCATGCCTTCAGATTACAATCTCACAGCTGTACACAATTCCCTATTTATAGCCCTACCTAAAGTGGAGCAGGAAAAGTGGAATAAAGAAAAAGAACAACAGGATTGTTATAATTAATTAAATGACAATTTTAATAAAAAATTTACAGCAACACATCAGTGACTAAATTGGGGAAGAGGGGGGAATCTACCCAAGTGGCGTATCTCAAACAGAGATTTTCACTTGCACGATAAACATTTCTTCTGATAGACTGATATGTATGTCAAAGGATGCTAGAGAATGGAAACAAAACTGTCTACACAACTAAAGTAAGAGAGTCCTGTCCGCTTGAGTCTTGGTGGTGGAGGCAATCGACCAGAAGGAGTGAACCCAACACACTGGTGCTTGCACCTCCTCGCTGGGTTCTGGAGTGAACACCGACTGCTAGCAGCAAACTGCCTCCATCTCCATCTCAGTCACTGCCAACAGTGCAATGAAAACAGTACACATTGTACAATAAATAAAAGGTAACTTGCAGCACAATAAAATAGGGATGGACTTACCATGAGAAGCTACATTAAACCACAAATGCAGCAAGTTTGGTTCCTGAGGCGGAAGCGGACAGCAGGTGGACTAGATGACCCCCAAGAGAGGCAGAGCTGGGTCGGAATCAGAGTTGAATGGACAACACGGAACCTGGTGACAGAACAATGAGGGTTCAACACTTGACACTAGAAACATACACAACTGCACAGTTCCATAAGGATTGAATACCCTTCAAGAAAGATAAATTTATAATTAATTTTGATTTGCCTAATAATGAGTGTGGTTACATTTATTCAGTGTCAGTAACACACATTAGCTTCCACTTATTTTTAAAATTTAATCATTATTTAAAATTCATTTCCATTGGTGTTGGCTACATGAACTTGACTGAACTTTACTCCATACAAAATTAAGAGCAAACCTACCTACCAATCAAAAATAGCCCTTTAAAAACAAGACCCTACTAATGAAGGGAAACTGTTCTTGAGAGTAATTTCTTCCACTTCCAGCTAATTGAATGGTTGTCCTTCAGAGATTGTAATGTTAGGAACTTCCCGTTCATGGAAAAAACGGGTATATTTTAAAGCCCATAGTATGAACTCATATGTTCTAATTGACTGCTGGTGGCACTGGGATAAATAACTTTTGGCACTGACTTCGCACTGATTCTTGACTTCCTTACCCGCTGTTCTTATTTATAACTATAAACTGATAGACATGTTAAAAAGGAATCTATCCAAGTGGCATTACTCAGCAGGGGAAGCAGAGATTTGAACTTGCACAATAAATAAATATTTCTTCAGAAAGACTAGTAAATCTGTCAAAGGATGCTAGTGCATGGAAACATAACTGTCCACACAACTAATGTATCAACATGTGCCAACATTGAACTCACCAAACATCCCTCACCTTATTTTCACCTCACACTTGAGATAGAGTCCTAAAGGGCCTAACTTCAGATAGTTGTTTCCTGTCTCGAGTCATATCAAAAGAAGGTAAGACCGGATAAAATGTCTGCTGTAAGTAAGTTGAATGTGATAAAGTCAAGAGAAAAAACAACATCCCTATTGAGCTCAGATCATTTTTAGTCTTATCACCAGCACACAAATGATTATGTAGCAAAAATTAGACTGTCTTATTGACTTATTTTAGTTTCACAATTTCAGTTTTGCTATATTATCATGTGTGTGATGATGCAGAGACTGAAAATGGTTCTAGCTCATGGGGAATGTTGCTTTCTGCAAGGCTGTACCACACCCAAGCAACAGCTGGCAATCATAAATTCAAACACTTTGTCCAAAGATAGAACTGGAGGATACAACCAAGACAGACAAAACAAAAACTGAAGCAAAAAGCGGAATGTGATGGGTAATGAGTTTATTGAAGGAGTACCTGACGAGTCCTATCAGCTTGGGTCCACTTGGCGGTGGAGGCAATCGACCAGAAAAAGTGGACCCGACACTCTGGTGCTTGCATCTCCTCGCTGGGTTCTGGAGTGAACACCGACTGCTAGCAGCAAACTGCCTCCATCTCCATCTCGGTCACTGTCAACAGAGCAATGAAAACATTACACATTGTACAATAAATAAAAGGTAACTTGCAGCACAATAAAATAGGGATGGACTTACCATGTGAAGGCCACAAATGCAGCAAGTTGGGTTCCTGAGGCAGAAGTGGACAACAGGTGGGCTAGATGATCTCCCAGAAGGACAGAGCTGGGTTGGAATCAGAGCTGAATGGACAACACGGAACCTGGGTGACAGAAAAATGGAGGTTCAACACTTGTAATGACTTAACGCAGGGTCTGGAGCAACAAAGCATGAAGCAAACGATAAAACGCGAATCTTAACAGCAGCATAACAAAGGAGGGTTAGGGTAAGCCGGGCACTAAATGTATGTACAACTAAGAGGATTTTCACTCTCATCCGACTAACGTGCGTGCTCAGATGGATCGGCGAATCGTTCAAATTAATTTCCCAGGCGACACAAAACTCTGTGCTTTGGCAACAGGCGTAAAGGACCTTCATAAGAATTCAAGAAAGCCGAGCAACAAGATGCAAAATGCATGTAAACAAAAACTTTCTTTGTACCCCTCCCCTCACCCCTCTTCCCCTCCCCTCTTTCCACCCGCTCGCAAACAAAAGAAGCACGACACCTTATTTGCAAGCTCTCTTCCCATTGGCTACGTATTGGCACGATCGAGACGAGGCGGCAGGCAAAAGCGAAAACAAAAACAACACGCAAGTACTGTACCATCATGGCGGCGTTTGTAGGCCTCGGACTTCGCCAATTTTTAATACTTTTGTCGTTGTTATCGGACTTGTCGCGAGTGGTGCACTTTGCTTTTCGGTCGTGACGGATGGCCATATTTCGGAAACACTTTCGTGTTCGTTGAAACCAGTTTCCAGCTCAAACAAACAGTGTCCTTGTGCTAGCTCAAGCCCAAGGATGCAGCAGCTAGTTCACATCTGTTGTGGACTCTATTTGCTGTATGGTGATGACTTAGCACTCTACACTTGGATTAAACAGGAAACACATTTCATGAGGTGAGCCAAAATAGGTGACTGTCAGGGCAAGTTTCTTGTGAAAAGAGTAAACAACAGTTTGTAAACATCAGTAAACTGAAACTGACTGCCCTGGCCAGCAAGTTCTTGGGCGGTGTTGGGCAGAACTGTGAAGGTAGCAGGCTGCTGCTGATGTTTCAAGACTGCCTGCCATTGTCATCACTAATTTTACCAAGACCTGTGATCTGAGTCAGTGGTTTCACTTCTATTTACCTTCCCACTGGCCATCGCTCAAATTTGGGCGATGGAAACGCATTACCAAATTTTGGGCGATGTTAAGTGTGTCGCCCAAATTGGGGCGATGAGTTATGTGTCGCTCAATTTGGGGCGATGAAATATTTGTCGCCCAAATTGGGGCGACAAATCAGTCATGGCCTAAAGTTGAGCGACAGTTTGGTCATCGCCCAATTAGTGGGCGATGGTCATCGCTCTCTCATTCTCAGTGGGGTTCTGGGGGAGGATGATAGCGCGAAAGTTGCCTACCTACAGGGGTAATGTGCGACTTCTTGCCTACCTTCCAGGCGGCGGTGACGCCCCCCCCCCCCTGAATCCGCGCCTGTCGCTGACACCAATTGCGAAGGCCTAAATTGTGCCTGAAATCGGCAGCAGAAACAGCGGAGCGGACTGTGTTTTTTTTTTTTCTAATACCGTCAAGTCCCCTAAAGTGGGACGATTTTTGCGGAAAATCGTCTGTTATTCACAGAATAACGATGACACCGAAAATCGCCGAGGATTTAAGAATCATCATGTCAAAACACGTCTTTTACCGAAAACAAAAAAAATTTTCAGCCCAAGGGGCTTCAGTAGGAGCAGCAAGAACCGTGTCCCAATTTAGGAGCCAAAGTCTCCTAAAGTGGGACAAAGTCCCCTAAAGTGGGACACGTTCATTCTTTTTCGCCCTAAAACTGCAGTAGCAAAAAGTTTCATAAAATGTATTATGTTCTAAACTTAATTTGGAGCAAGATTGGTTCTGAAGTCTTTTTCGATATCTCGACTGGTTAAGCAGATATGAGCCTCTTCATTCAATAAGATTTCCTTAGATATATTTAAATTAGAAACCACCGTAACGCCTAAGGGGCAAACCAGGGCCAATCAGCAGTGCCCAAAATGGACCATCGACGATTTGGCCCATTTTTGGCTCAAATGTTACCTACCCATAGGTAAACATCGGGGTAAAATTTCAGCCACCTAGGTGTCGTTTCATAGGAGTTATGGGCAATCTTAGTTTTTGACTTTTTTTCTTAAGTGGTTTTTGACCAAATTGCTACATTTTCCAAAAATCCCTCTCAAGTCTACAGTTTTGCCCCTAGTTGGCTGAAAACTCGTTCCCCAGCGTAAAATTGCATGAGGAATTCGATTTCAGGGCCCAAACGGACCCCTGGGCAGTCTATCATAGAGAAAAATGCCAATTTTGACGAAAAATCACTTTTTTTAAGGTTTTACGTCGGTGCGTTTTAAAGCTACACCCGAATCCAAACTTGGTCAACTCCATGCGGGAAATCGTACCTCTTACTACCACCTAAAATAGCACGGCTCGACATTTGGGTGGTATGGGTATGGTTTGAGCGCTGCAGCCTTGGGAACTTTTAAATTAAGAAAAACTAGGAAATTCCTCCTTACGGCGAGGTCAACCCTCCTGCATTGGCTGTTTCGAGTTCAACTGAGGCCCCGCGGTAAGATTTAAGTTAGAAAGGCCCTTCTTACCCCTCACTACCATCACTGACCCTCTGAGAAGCGCACTGAGGTCACTTTTGGGTCCATGGCTGCAGCCAAAATGACAGAATTGACGAAACGCCTGAAGGGTAGGCAACTTTTCCTACGCGCCTGAAGGGGAGGCAAATTATCCTACGCATGAGTGGGGCTGTTCTAGTCTAATAAAACATGTAGTCTAACATCTGCTTCTTTTATTTTGAAGAGGATAATGATCACAATTTTGACAAATTTGGCAGTTAGATAAAATACTAAGCTAGAACAAACCTTGGCTCATTATACATTGAGCGAATATCGTAAATTGCTGATCATTACACTAAACCAAGAACACAACTTTGCTTCACACATATGAAAAAGTCCAGACGACCATCTGGGAACACCGCTCCCGGACAAATCCGATTTTCCGATTTCGCCTCTTTGTCGGTTAAGCCAAGAGGAAGCATTTGCTTTCAAACATTAACTAAATTTTGTGCTGACTTAAAGCGTACCGAACCGTACTTGCGCGACTGCCTGGGCCTCCAAACCGAGCTGGCAACCTAATTTAGGCCAGGCGGCGTTTGTAGGACGCTGGAGGTGAATGTAACGCCTCTGAATCGGTCAAAACCTTTAAAAAACGAAGAAAATTCATGTGTCCCACTTTGCAGCCCCTTAGAAGATTGCTTCCCACCGTAAAACGAACGTGAGTTTTAGGATAAGTGAAGATCCCCCTCTTGGAGATAAAAGAACGCGCTACAACATGTCTGAAGTCTAGAATGGTTCGAGCATCAACGGCTCGAAGCCCCGAATCCGCGCTAGACGTCTGAAAAACTTCTATTTTTTTCTGCATCAAATTCCAATTTTCAAGATTTTTTTGGGGAGGGGGTATGAGCGGGAACAAGACACTCTCTGCGGATATGGTCTCGGAGGGGTCCTACCGTCTCAAAAACATTTTTTACCTCGCAAAATACCGTCAAGTCCCCTAAATGTGGACACCCGGGTGGAAGGAAGTCTAGTTTTAACTGAGTACCGACTACAGTGAAAAACTGCAGTGCGCAAACTGCGGTCTTCAGTGCAGTCAAAGTGTAAAAAAACTCTGAAATTATTTACAAGTTTGTGTACTGTTCAGGTGGTACTCGTAATAGTAGTCTGACTGCAGTTTATTTCCAGTTAAGAGTTCAGTTCTTAAATAGTGTCGAAACTTCAGCTTGATCTATAGCTATGTTACACTCACCATTGCTCAGTCAAACAATACTTCAAAAGTGTGTTAAAATACTTCTTTTGACTCAAGTATATCAACGCTTTATCTGTAATTTTATCTGCATGATCATTGTCTAGACACGCATTACGCTTCAATTTACACTTATAGTATACCTTTTCAATGCAGTCAGGAATGAGGAAGCGATTGAAGAACAAAAGTAATCACAGTGCAGGGACTACTAGCGCGCCACCTAGCGGCCGATGCTGTGAACTTCGTTCGGATCTACGCTTGGACCAATCAGGGTTCAGCTTTTGACAGTTCGCTATAACGGCCGCTTGGTGGCGCGCTACTGGTTCCGGGCTTTTAGAGTACTTTTGTTCTTCACTCGGCGACGAGCGAAAGGGGCTATTGAAAACCGACACGACTGGAAGGCAAGGATCAGTACGTCGATCAATATGGTTTTTTTTTTCTCTGAGATTAAGCATGGCGGGGTGAAGCCAAAATTTAACGTTGAGCATAAAAATTATTGCGATATTCTTAGACGTCGGGGTAGTGCGCAAACTGTGGAAAAATCCTCATCCCACCACACCGTGTGGTCTACTGTCAGCCGCCGAGCTGCAAGGCCTGGTTTCAAGGACCTGCCGCTAGGTGGCGCTTGGATCGCTGTGAGTGTTTGTCAAACGGGATTTCTTATTTAGGCTAGTGAATTAAGTTATTTTTGCAAGTTACACCATCTGCCACTTCAGTAAATATCTGCTTTAGAAGTTAGAGAAAAATTTGAATCAGAATATTGCACTGAAGTGGAGAAAAACGGAATTCCGTATTAGCACTCGATGGCGTCTACGGGCGACGATTAGGTTGGGTCCACGCATGATTCACTCGGTTCTTCAGACTCTTCTACCTTACTAGGCAGTCTGCGGTGACATGCAGTGGTAACGTATGAAGGTGAAGTTAGTCAATACTAGCTCCTTCCAATTTTTAGTCAATACCGACAGCACTTGTCGTGTGGCATGGACTGGTCCACCCGACTAGCCCGCCCGGCCTTCAACAGGGTTCCACTCTCATTGCGGAGATGGCACAGCATTACAAACAACCACGTAGAGGACATGGAAGGAGTAGGGCCAGGGTCGGCGGTGGGGGCTTGCAAAACTAAATTTGAACGTGATTTCCAAATCCACACTTGTGACTAAAATTCAGAAAATACTTCTCGAAAATAATTTTAACTTCAATATAAAACTCGAGTTAAAGCTTCTGTAATACTGGCGAGATGAAACCATGATTAAAACTGCAGACAAGACTGCTCTGTCCGAAAAAACTACCAGTTTTCCTGTAAACAGACTGCAGTTCAACTATAGTTAACTATAGTTAGACTGCAGTTTCACCAGTTAAATTACAGTTGAACTACAGTCAAACTGCATCGGTCAGTCTGCAGTCTGACTGCTGTTCGTCTGCAAATAGGCTACACTTATTGAATATAGTAAAACTTAAGTTATTTTATAAACAGAAAGTATGTGGCGTACAGTCTAACAAATAGTTAAGTTGCAATTCCCAGATATAATTAGAACTTCAGTTCCTTCCACCCGGGCACGAACCCTAAAGTGGGACATTTTGACTATTTTCCCTATT